TCAATTCAACATTTATTTACTTCCTTTTTGAATCAGACAAATATAATACAATTGATTTCAAATAAATTGAAAATGCAGGAGGAAGAGGGCAAGAACCCGAGAAGATAAGAAAAACCAATCTTGTGGAGGGACAGCCTGAAATAAGAGAGAGAGAAAAAAAAATGAGATTAACAAAAGAGACAAAAAGACAAAACAGGACAGAAAGGGACAAAAAAAACAATACATTCAAAACAAGTCGAAGACAGACCGACAGACCGCGCGAAAGGTAGCAACCAAGTGGAGTTTTTTGAATTGGTTAGTAAAAATTTTAATGGAAGATGCATTTATCAAGTATGAGGGTAACGAATTCCAAAGTTTGGGGCCCGAAAATCTGATGTTGTACTGGAAGTAATTGGTTCTATGGTTGGGTATATATATATATATTGTTTTGTAATTTAAATCTTAAAGATAGGAACGCCTTGCAAAGAATATTAAATTTGTGTTAAAAAATAACAGGAAGTCCATTGCGTAGTCTTTAATACTTTTGTGACCAACACATTTTAGAAACCCCAGAACATGCCGTATTCCATGAGTTTGAAATACTACCACATGGTCTTCGGTACAAATAGCAAGTTAAATTCGTTTGTTCCAACTGGTATTAGGCTCTTAAATAAGAATAAATAAACATATAACACTGGATTAAAGACATTTCATTGCACTACAAATTTATTTGAAAATAGCAGGTAACGAGTACTTAATGTCAAAGACCTTTATGAAGTTGATATATATTTACACATATATATATATAATATATATATATATATATATATATATATATACATATATATTATACGTAATATTATTAGGTCTTCATACAGTTGGCTCAGTTGCAATCTCTATATGATCCATTTCTCTGAAATAACCATCTTACCTGTGTAGTGCTGGCCAATACAATGGATAGTTTATTTGACTAGTCTCTGCAATTAGAAATAATTGTCTCCATACCTTTTAAATTAATCACCGTAATTTAGCTTACACTTATGAATTTAGGAGCACTTAAAATGTGAAATAATCATTTCTCCGAACTTTATTCATTCATTAGGCCTACAAAAATAGTTTCATATTGCTGTACTATATACTCCAACATCACTGGCGCATGGTAACAACCAACTGACTGCAGACACATTACTCTCCGTAAAACAGCACCCCCTAGTTCCGTCACCTCTGGGTTCTTTATTATTGTAGATACTCAGTATGCATAGATAAATAAACCAATCATTTGGTTTACCAATTTACGATTGGTATGTCGGACGCAACGCCCACGAGGGACGACTCCATACCGGTGTGGGCCCCAATGGAAATACATTTAATAACAATATTTTTCTATATTTTAAAACTTTCTTGGGTTACGCTGGAAATTATTATCTTATCTGTTGTTCTTAATTATTTATCTGTTCTTTTATTTTGTTTTTTTTTTTATTAACAAATGTTTTGTGATTTTAATTACTGAATAAAATGAAATAAAAGAAAAAAAAAATCAGAAATTACTTAAATGCTGATGATGCAACAAAAATCGACCGATGCGATAAAACTAGGTCTATTGAAAAACTTTATGACAAAAGACAAGTACTCTTTGACAGACCGTGACTTTATACACAGCTTTGTGTCTCCCATAATATATTTCATAAAGGGTTTTGGAATGTCGAAAAATCTGAATATGAAACTTTTAGAACGAGTACGCTTGTTTCAAAATATGTAAGTTGAAAATATAAATGCATCGATCAATGCAGGAAAAATAGTCACTTAGTAAAATATGCAACAATCAGGGAGCCATTAAATTAAACGAACAGTCTATTTTTTTTTTTACAATTTATTTCAAATCATTGATCGTAAGTTGAAGCGAAAGCTTCCTCATAATATGTGATAGTTGTCTCAGATGGGATTGATGTTCTGAAGAAGTGAAAATTGTTACTTGAACCTTAATTATGTATCAAAAGTTAATCACCTCTCCAGTTAATTGACAACGTACAATAGAAACCAGTACGGTGTTCCTTCTTAATATACACTGTAGTATAGATATTTCACCAATAGAATCCTGTTAACACATGCTGGTACCTATAGGCTGTGTTAAAGAAAAGAAATCTACTTGGAATTTCCCAAAGAACCCGAACAAATAAAGCTTTTGCACTCTTTCGTCTAGGTGCAAATTAAGTATTATTCGAGTTACAATTATTTGAATTCCACAGTGGTGTTAAGCTTTGAACCTAATATGTCTTTTGTACAGAATGTTTTGATTGGGTTGAATCGCAAGCCCTGGCCATGGAATAGGGACTTTGCCTGTATTATAATTGGCATACTCAATAAACCTAATCTGTTGACCAGTGGCCGTAAGACTTATAACATTGCCTCAATTTTCCACTAGAGCAGTGTAAACCTAAAAAAGGACCAATTCTGCGCTTTCTTCCAATTTTTCTGCATTAACTTCACAACCAGTTCATATATTTTTTTCAAGATATTTGATTTAACTTTGACAACTGTAGCCTACACTTATTAAAATACTTACTTTTTATCAAGCCCTCCAATCCCGACAACTGGGTACCATGTGACATGCCATAAATATCGCCATGATGACATCGTATCATGACTCTGGGCATAAAACAGTTTTTTTGTCAAATAAAATGATATATTCAGGGCTAAGTGAAAAGCAACGAAATGTTTATTTTCAACATAAAAACTGACCTACATACATGGTTATTATATAGGGCAAAGGTATTGTCAGGTCACGTCGTGTATACAGCGCGCTTAAATTAATAGAATAAATTACATGCATTCATGTGAGACGCCAACATCAGTATAATGGAGATAATGGAAATCATTCCCACAATTTAAATCAACAATGAAAGCAGCTTTTTGTTTTCTGTACAGGGCCTTTCAAGTAACTTTTAAGGCGACGCCCAGTGGTTTATGGGATTGGGCTATATTTCGGGCCTAATGAAGCAATACTTGACATGAATGAAACTCTGAGTGACAAAGACGGCTTAATATCAGAGGCCATGTATAGAACGACAAAATAAACAGCGACTCAAAAGGCCACGCCCAAATGGTTTCAATCATGTAAAGCTAGAAGAAAACTGTTTCCTATACAAAAAATGGCCAGTGACGTTCTTATAATATCATGTCTGTTCACATTAATAAACCATTATGGAAATACAGTGCACCCACCAAGAGACCCCTCTCCACCCTCTAATTCGAGACCACTTTTCCCAGAACCCAAATAACAATCTTCAACCTTTTTAAACACAAAGCTAGTCCTATAATTGGAGACCAACCCCGAGACCACCCCACATCACCCAAAGGTGGTCTCGAATTGGAGGGAAAACTGTAATATTAAAGGCCTTAAATACTGTAGGCCCACAGAGAATAAAAAGTTGCCGAAAAATCTCCACATGGTAATGATAGTCAGCCACGTCTTTTTTCACATAAAAAAATGCATTTTAACCTTATTTTGTTCTTCAAACTGCTTTTTCAGAATGAGATGGGACGGGGACAAAGAAATAGTTTGTCCCTGCAATATCAAACTAGGCAATCAAAACGTTTGTTTCGTTTAACTGATAGAGAGGTGCTGTAGGTGGTTCGAATCTCGCCAGAAGCACTTTGTAATTCATACAAGTTGTTTGATAGATATGCTTGATAGGATTATGACATCATTATGTTCGTGTTCTAGAACTGTTATATTTTTCTATTGATTATATTTTGTTCGAAATTGTTTAACATATTTATTTTAATCAAACACTACTAATACTTGATTTACATTCACATAATATAGGGGCCAGGTCTGGGGCAGGGGTGGTGCCAGGCCAAGGTTCCCTAAAGGTTAACCAATGTCCTCGACGAGAGCAAAGTGTGCCTGGTTCTTTCGTTGGTCAAAATGTTTCGAAAGTCGTTCAGTGTGGAAGCCCCGAAAAATATGACAAGGGATTTCAAAGGCTTCTTTAACCGATTTTATGGATAGAGTCACATAGAAAATATATATATATTTTTTTCTCCCCGACACCCTGTTTCCCCCCACTAGTACCACCCCTGGACCACGGGATATTGAATTGTTTATTGTCCACTACAATATATTACATCAGTTAACAATTCAATATATTTCATTAAGACAATATATTTCTCAATACAAAAATATATCTTTCAAATACAAGTACTGTACAAAAATACATCCATTGTTTACAACTTGAAATAACATACTATTACTACTTAAATTTACCATTCCTGCTGAGGGTTCCATTTGCTGAAATTTAAGCAGTAGGGTAAGTTTAGGAACCCAGAACATCCCCGTGATGAGTAGTGAATATTGTGGTGCTCTGCTACCTGCCCCTGTTGTTTCCACCAAATGGACCCCATTTGAAATATGCCTTTTGAATTTTCGTCGGTAAATTTGGTGTATAACAAACTCAACCAAATACCCAATTAACGAACCGAACTATAGGATACCTTAAAAAAAATATAGTTCTATAAAACCTTCTGAAATTATAACTTAGAATTGTTCATATTAAATTATCTCTTTCTTATTGTATTATTATTTGGTTCTCTCATATCACCGCAGAACAGTAAATGTCAATTATTGAGAATTGTAAATAAGGCTGGAAGAGTGATTGGAGCCGACATCCTTGGAAGATATTTTTGATGATTTTTTACTTAAGAAATTTAATTCAATTATGCAAGATTCATCCCATCTATTATTTTCAGACATTATCATAAATAGATCGGGAAGGGTTAGACATAAACAAAACAAAATATCCACAAACCGTTTTAAAAATTCAGCATTGTACATCGCTTGTAATCTATTTAATCAAAATTTCAGAAGATAACTGCACAGGACTCAAATTTTTATTTTCTAAGAAATCTTTATTTAACACTCTATATGTTTATGAACGATTCTGTCATGTACAACAAATATCTCAGAATGTATTATTTTGACAATAAAGTTGACTTGTATCTTGTATCTTGTATCTTGTAACCAATAAAACACTAAAACAATATATATTACTTCTATAAAGTGGTATAAAGTGATAAATTCTGATAAAACCTTCTGAAATTATAACTTAGAATCGCTCATATTAAATATCTATCAAAGAACAATTCAACCACCCATTAAAACACTCAAACAATATATATTACTTCTGTAAAGTGGTTTATAATATTGTCAGTGATAAATTCTGATATAATCTTCTGTCCAAAGATGATCTCGAATTGGGTGAACTGTATCAAATAATGTAACAAGAAGAGATCACGATAATGCAGTTTTCGTAGATGTGTAGACTGTAAACTACAAAAAATACTGAACTGATTGCTAATCTATATAATAGTGACGTACATGTCTGAAAATATATTTTTTTGTTCAAATTTTCAATTGAAAGTTAGGTTTTTTCTCGTTATAATTTTACATAAGAACTGATAATGTTTATAAATATAAAAGTTTATTTTTTTTTAAATATTACGTTTTTAATTTTATTTTTTTTTAAAATATATTCTTTCTCTTAAGGTCTGTCCACACTACAGTATCATATTTTATGAGACAAATAAATGTGATAGGCCCATATTTGGGTGTAATATGACATCATGCCCATATATGGGCACATCACACAAATCATATTTAACTTATTTTGATATACAAAGTAAACAATATAAAAAATAGATTTTATTTTTTAAGTTTCTTTCTGGCTCCACACAGGTGGTATACCTTGAAGAATAACTCTTGTATACAACCTTGTATATCTTTGCTCCAAGTAAATTTTATGCAAACAAAATACTATAATGAACAATAGACAGAGTGACAAAATGGCTGGCTGATTTGAAACATAAAGAAAGTGCGATAAATATAAATAATCAGGGGAGGTTAGACTAGCCCGCAGCATAACAACGCCTCCTGGATTCACCGTAACGGAAATTATATCATCCTTGGAATAGCGACCTAACGTCTTATGCTCAAATAAATCCCGTATGTAGTAGAAGGTGGAAGAGTTGAGGCCTAGCTGGTGCAGCGTGAGGTGTACAGTTTGTGGAACGCTGGTGCTACGACTGAATACTGCTACAGCCTGAGAGTCGTTAACAAGTGGCTTTGACCATACTTCAGTGTTTGTCTCAACTTGCTAGAAGAAAAGAAATTAAAATTTTATTAAAGTATGAATAATAAAAATAAACAAAATCCATAGGGAATTGTGCAAAGAAAAAGTTATAATTTCATTACCATTATCATTATCACCAGCTGTCAACTATCATGATCATCATTACAAGTATTATTATCATTATTTCAAATTATCATTATTCCTGTCACTGCCTCTGCTGCCAGCATCAATCATCACAATCACTACCACTTCCCCATAACCACATCATCACCACCACCCTATAACCCACATCATCACCACCACCCTATAACCCACATCATCACCACCACCCTATAATCCCCATCATCAACACCACCATCCCATAACCCCTAATCACCACCATCCTGTAACACCCATCGTCATCACCACCCCATAACACCCATCATCATTACCACCCCATAACACCCATCATCACCATCATCATCATAACCACCCTATAACCTGAATACCACCACCACCACCCTATAACCCCATCATCACCCCATAACCCTACCAACACCACCATTCCATAACCCCATCATCACCATCACCGCCACCACCCCATAACCCCATCATTACCATCACCACCACCACCACCCCATAACCCCATCATCATCATCATGACCACCACCACCACTCTCCCATAACCCCATCATTATCACCACCAACATCTCATAACCCTACCATCACCACTACCATCATTTATACACCAATATTACCTTTATTATCTTCTTTCCCATAGCTCCCAGGCTGTCTTGATTCACCTCAATGACCTCTTTATTCAAAAGAATATCTTTTGCCCAATCAGAAATACCCCGAAGGTCATTGGACATGAGAAGAGGTGAAGCTAGTATGCACCACATTGCCATTTGTGTTTTGGATTGGTCAGGACTCAAAGAGAAGTCTCCAATGACCAACTATAAAATTTAACAAGATCAAGAAAGAATAGAATGAATGTTATATAATCTTACTCTTGTGAAATGTTATAATTTCTTTAATGAATAAAAAGTGTAGCCACGTTAGTCTGTTACAGAACAATTTTTTACAATAAATGACAACAGCACTTTTGAGACTAACAATATAGAATTTATTCTCTAGTTTTCGTCCACACAGTGGGATTTATCAAGAAACTGTGTATACTACACTTGCACAGATATACTCTATGTTGTGCTGGTGGAATTCCTCTGTAAAATTCTCCTGTAAAATGGTGGAATATGTTAAGGTTAATCATGAGTTTGTGTTCCAAACTACCCATCCAACTTTTCAGGGAGTTGGTAATAGGACCTACGATGACCAATGGCTGATAGCAGTCTCTCCAATAATGGACTATGTTTAGAGACATTTTGACCTAGTTTCTGCAGTATATTCATGCGCCTATCTAGAGCCTATTTTTACTTTGCTGCTTTAAACTTCTTAATAGCAATAACATTTTTTTGTCACAACGTTCATTGATATTTACTTTAAAATTACTATTATTTTATGGAAAAAGTTATTAAATTATCACTACCCCCTATTGTTTATGGAGCAGTCCACTTCTTTATGGTATGTGAATGGATGAAAGTTTTGTGAATATTAGGTCCAATATCCAAAACAAGTCAATGGCATAGGGATGGGTTTTGTTTGCATGGTTTACTATTATGATAGTATAAGACATACTCAAAGTATCGAAATTCACACCATCCTGTCAGGATTAATAATATTAATATTAATAATTTATTATTAATATTTTGACATTAATTACATTATCAGTTAACTATTATTGTATGGAAAAAGTTGTTAAACTATCACTACCCCCTACTGTCTATGTGGCAGTCCACTTCTTTATGGAATGTGAATGGTTGAAGGTTTTGTGAATGTAAGGTCAAATGTAAAAAAACAAGACAATGGCATAGGGATGGGTATTGTTTGCATGGTATTCTTGCTACTGTATATTGCTTGTGTACTTGCTCTCTTGTAACTAAATTTATAGGAAGTGTAGACCTGTTATTCTTTAAATTAAGGTAGGACATATTGCTAATGATCGGGCAGGGAGAGAAATAAGACAACCATACAGCTACTACTGTGCCCAAGAATTACCTGGTGACCAGTACTTAAGCCTTGCAGGTATTTAGTAATGTATGTACTATTCATTCGCCTGGTGGTTATACACTAGTTACTATTTACCTGGTAGATAGTTACAGAACGCCTGAGTAGATACTAATGAGGTACAGTAATACGTGCGATTTATGATCAACATTATGAAAGTTTTTTACAGCAAACGTCGTTTTTGTATACGCCTGAAGGGTAGAATTCGACGGGAAGTTTCATGAACTTATTTATAGAGCACAGTTCTTAACTATTTGTAGAAGCTGATTTTCTTTAATTTTTCTAACTTAAAATGTCTTTGAGGTGAAAATATAATACATAGAATGTACATCATTACAAGCGCAGTAATACTTTACCATATCTAAATCGTTGAAACTTCCTGGAGCTGACACTGATGAAAAGACATCCTGATTAGCGGCAGTGTAGTCAATTGTGGCAATGACAGAATCCCAGGAATCTTGAATATCTGAATGAACACGCCACGTATTACAGTATTTAGCAATCATCTGATAATTCGACTAAAAAAATAATATAAATATAATTTTGGTTAAAATATGTACAATTAAAAAAATACATATAACTAACACCGTGCATGATTTGAGTGTTGGATACAGTAGATTTAATTAATAGTAAATGAGATGAGAAATGGCAACAGTTGTCATAATATACAAACAACCAAGCATTTCAACATGGTTTGGCCTCTCATGGGCTTATCAACTTGATAACAAAACTAAACTAGAACCTATAGCTTACTTGCAGTTCTCTTGTACACAGTAAAAGGTCTGACAATAAGCAAAAAAACTTATTATTTCCATGTCTCTCTGGAAATTAATGGATTTTACAGATTTTATAAAAGTGTATATATCTCAATTTTAGAAACCCTGTCTAAACACTTTTTGAAAACATCCATATCATAGGCATGTTTAAGCCTCTTTCACACAGACTAACATTTCTTGGTATACTTCTGGGATAGCATTACATGTTGCACATAAACTGTCCTATTATATTGTAACTTGTGTGTATATATTTGTATATGTTTCGTTTGGGTTGAATCTCTTCTTGTAGAGTTTTCCTCTGTTATAAATGTGAGAACCAATAAATCTTAGCTAAATCTAAGCTGGGAGAGTACATGGGTATATCCTGAAACATTCTTTATAAAATTCAAAATGTGTCCATTGGAAAGGGTGTCCACAACTTATGACCAAAGCTGAAAGCCACTATGTCAAGTGATGCATAACCAATCAGAGATGAATATCTTTAGGTGCAATTTTTATGAAGCACTCCAAGTTGCACTGCAAAAACAGTACTCACAATTATTGTTTAGGCTCCTAACCTACATCAATGGTGCAATTGTAGAATAATGCTAGGCTAGGCCAACTGTTTTTGTTCTGTGAGAATAGGTTGCAGGAAATTATATCCTTACATTAACCTGGAGCTTTTTTAAGACAATACCATTTCAAAGTAGCTTAATGCAATGATGCAATCCTGAATATGGTACCAGACACTGTGAGAACCCTGTTAACACCTTTAAAATTAAATATAACTGAACAAAAGCCTTTCATCTAACCAATCTTTTAACCTTTTTTGTGGTTCTTTTTAGTTGATTGTTTGAGACATTTTGACTGTGTAAACATCTGAAGTGCTACACTGACTTTGACTCTTTGTAAGCTATTTCAGGAATTGTTCAATATTAGTTCTAGTATATTTCGCAATCAAATTTCTTTTATATTCTATCAGTTGGTTCTGTCTGGGATTGTCTGTACATTGGGGAGATAGGTACTGTATATGAGAGATTGAGAAGGGCAGGGAATGTTGGAACGACTTTGTGGGATAATGAGGTGTTTGCAAGCTATCATTGAGACAGTACCAACTTTTTTACAAATTATTACAAATTGCAGGGTCCAGAGATATCCAAAAGGGGGGGGGGGAACCCCCAAAAGCGGGGTAGATTGAGATAACACTAGTCTAGGGAGTCCGTGGGCATGCCCCAGCAAAATTTTTGTGTTCTAGGTGGCCTGAAATAACCTCTGAGGTGTTTTGGGCAATCAATTTTCTCTTTTTTTCTTTTTAATTTTTTTTACCTTCCAAAAGGAGGGCTGTGGCCGGCCCAGCCCCTAAATTGGAATTAGTCAAGAATCCATCGCAGGGCTCTGTAAAACACCATCTTCTCTCCTCCCTCCTCTAGGGAAATAAGGGATGATTAATTTCCGATATGAAAGATCGACGGCATTGAATAATTTTTTGATAAGAAGGAAGGGTAAATATATTACCAGTTTGAATAATAAAATTTCCCGTTTTTGGTTGAATTAGTTGCTATAGTGCTATAACAACTCCCCAATTGAATGAAGTCTTTTTGTACAGTAACGTAATAATAATAATAATAATAATAATAATAATAATAATAATAATAATAATAATAATAATAATAATAATATTATTATTATTATTATTATTATTATTATTATTATTAATAACAATAATAATAATAATAATAATAATAATAATAACATGCGCTAAGTTGAACTTAAGGGGAATACAGTATATCTTTTGTGTCATTTTCTCCTTAACATCCTTTTTTAATTGTTCTCTAATTTCTCAATTGTCTAAGTTCCCCTTAAGGTAGGTTTTAGTAACATAATAATAATAATAATAATAATAATAATTCTTTATTGGTCCTCATTCTAATAGAAAATCGGAAATTCGACCTTGGCCCCATGGTGACCCATGGCAGCCACAGTGCAGCGCCACCCAACTTCAATTTTATATCTCGTTGTTTAAAATAATTTCCAAAAACCAATGTGGTCCCTCCAACACAGGTCTACCTGTTGGAGGATGCCTTCTTCTTCCTCGTTGGTGTCTCCTTTTCTAATTCTTTGAATTTTTGTTATTTAATGCTTCTTGAAATTTGATTTATATAATATTATTTTTGAGAAGGAACTATTATATATTCCATTTTGTAAATTTTTGTTATTAATTTCAGAAGTAGATACTTTTGTGAGTTGTTTTTAACACTGAGAAAGAGGAAAATAAATGTTTTGATGATTTGATTTGATTTGAGCTGAGGCTCCATGATTAGGTGAGGGAGCACTCGCTCGCAAAATAAGGTGAATCTTATCTACTTGAACATGAATTTTTGGGTTGACACTGGGGAGGGGGAGGCGAGTATTTTTCGGGAATTCCCCCACACCACTGTTTACCAGTATCTATGTTAGAGTCACCTGTTATGTATTGATCATCTCACCTGAGTGACTTTCGCTGGCCATTCACAGGTGTACAAAATGTGTCTACCAGTAGCATTCAACAACCTGCTAACATTTTTGAATCCTGAAAAACAAAAAAAAAAAATAGAAGTGACACCCATATGCTGGGTTTATCAAACATTTTGACCTCAGTAGCAAAATTGATCTCACTCCTCAAATGTATACAGCCACTGCCGCTCATACACCTAAGAAAATTTATAATTAACATGTATTTGAGGCTATACACTTCACGAAATACAAGATAGTAATACTGTACAAGATTTTTCAATTTAAACAAAAACTAGTGAATTTAATATTACAAGCTTAAATAATCTAAAAAATGCCAAAAAAAACCCCCCCAAAAAACAACTGAAATACATCGTTTTTAACTAAAATAAAGATAAAGACATTGCCAATTGCCAAACTTTTAAGTAACACAAATTTTAGTCTCTTTACATGAAGGTTAAGTATTATTGCAGTGAAAAGTCTTTAGATTGTAGTAAACATATTATTGAATTGAAACTTATTTCATTTTTCAAAATGATCAATTCAAAGGTTTATTTCAATTTTGGATGTGTTTTTCCTTAAGTTTTTATGTACAAATATCATACACTTACAATCTAATCAAGATAATTGCAAAGACGACTAAAAATACTTTCTGTGTTTCTAATTATACAAGTTTAAATTGGGGAAGGACTCTTGTGGTAGGTATTGAACTGTGTACGCTATTGAAATGTTTAGAAATGGCTTAGTTCTTAAAGAATGCCTCCAGTCAAAGAGCCAAACCATGTATGAAATTAACACAATAGATGTAAATTGTTTTCGTTTCAATTGAAAGGATGTTCCAGTGTAGTTGACAGAAAATGTAGTTGTGCCATGGTAGTCACAAAATTCACAGGGCAGGTACATTAAGTTCATTGGAGGTAGAAATATCCATCTTACCCTGTTTAATAGGTAAGTGTGATAAAAAAATTACAGACATCACTTTTCACTAGAGCTTCTGTCAGTCTGTTCCAGTGAGCCCCTACTTTTGGGGCTTCAAAATGCTGGAGAATGGAGCAGTTAAAATGATTTTTCTGTTTTTTGTTCTTTTAGATGTTTTCTTTGTTAGAATATATTTTGTATTTATGGATAATCCATAGATATGTTTCTTTTTGTTCATGTAAAGGACATAGGTAACTTTAGGACTTACATTATTATTATTATTATTATCATTATCATTATCATTATCATTATCATTATCATTATCATTATCATTATCATTATCATTATTATTATTATTATTATTATTATTATTATTATTATCATTATCATTATTATTATTATTATCATTATCATTATCATTATCATTATCATTATCATTATTATTATTATTATTATTATTAATATTATTATCATTATTATTATTATCATTAATATTATTATTAATATTATTATTATTATTAATATTATTATTATTAATATTATTATCATTATTATTATTACTATTATTATTATTATTATTATTATTATTATTATGAGTTGGAATAGTCTGGAAAAAGGCTCCAAATGCTACATTTAATTATTAATATGTCTTTTTATAGAGTGATAAGTGACTACTGTAACAGTAGTCACTTATCACTCTTTTTATTTATTTTGTAAAAACCCTAGTTGCCTAAAACTAGCAGTCATGCAGGGGCCCAGTGGACTAGAGTGACAGGTCTGAGGAGCCCTAGTACATAGCTACGTCTACAATATCATATATTCGTTCCAAAATATGCAAGTCTTCTTGTTTAATGATATTAAATTAGATATGGTTTAAAAAGTATTATCCTCATTTAGGTTGGACTGTTTACATAATTGTATTAAGAAAACATAAACTTGTTGAGAAATGAAATCAAGTGAACAAAATTCACAGACGTGTCATAAAACAATTATTTGGTTGATTACTTTGAATGAATTTGAGTGAAAAATTTGCAGCACTAACCAGTGAAGCTTTGTTGTTGCTTTTTAAATACAGTGTGCCAGGCACTTGTAGGCCTTCATCCCATAATCATAAGTATTTCAACAGACCCCACCCACCAACTGGTTGTAATGCTCTAAAAATTGAGTGGTAAATAATTTTAGCATGAGCATTTTGTATAATTATATTTCTGTCCTTGTTGATGCATGAATGTGGAATATAAGTAAATGTAAAAGGCTCTGTTGATTATTTGGTATGATAAAATTTACTTTTAATGTTAATGCACTGTTCATATAATTATACAATAATTATATAAACATAATTATATAATTATTATATAATCAAACCATAATAATAAAAATTATATAATCATAATTATAATTATATTATTATATAATTATAATAATAATATTATATAATTATAATAATTATATTATATAATAATAATAATAATAATAATAATAATAATTATATCATTATTATTAATTACATAATTCTGAGACAAATATCTGTGATTGCCCCATAGGAGCTATTAAACAACTAGAGTGCTGACAAGGTGACGAAGCAATGCAGAGTTTTGTATGTGTACCATCCAGGATGGCCGCCATAGGACAGCACCACCTTCAGGCTATTATATACATATTATAATCATAATTAAGCCCTCTAACTAGCTATTTTTTCATTAATTATTATTATTATTATTATTATTAATATTAAATTATTAAACTATTGTAGCCTGGGAGAGGCCAAGTGGTGTATCTTATTTCAAAATAAAGTACAGTATTAAGGAATCACAATTTAATCGTGTACATTACACCCATACATTGCAACGCTTGAGTTTCAACATACGGGTAACTTAGTTGTAACATTCATGTGTTGAGGGCGCCATTGAAAACGATGATGCTTAGGTGAATTTTGATTGGCAGCCATCTTGGGTGGTACACACACAGCTCTGCATAATTTGAACATCAAATACATTGTAGTTTAAGCGTTTTATATTCTTATTACGCCTCTATGGATTGCCCAAATATGGGTTTGAATGGTGATGTCACACCCAAATCATAAGTATTACATGAGACTAGATTAGACAGCTTGAAACATATGCCAATATATCAATTTCATCATTATCATAATCTACGTTTTGAGTCTTTGTCCATTTTGGTGATGGGTTGGACTTTTCTTAATTTGATGGTAGATCCCCAAGCTACTTAGTCCTGAGCCAATTACTGACTATGACCTTTTGCCCTAAGGTCGCTTTAGATCACTTCCTCCCATGTTTTCCGAGGTCTGCCTCTACTTTTTCTACCTTCAACCTCAATACTCCTGCATCAGTAAACCCAGTTACCCTCCTCCATCCTTTAATTATGCCCGAACCAAATTTTTCTGATCTGCAAAGTTCTAATGCCTTCATTGTAGTTTATATAGGAACTATGCAAACAATGATAAAAATATTAAAAGATTTAAATTGTTGAAAACATGAATCTTAAAAATCTTATAAATCTTAAAATTTCTTTTACAGAACTGAGGAAAAAATGTGGATCAGTTCCTCCAGTTGGGCTGAAGTGGTTGTAGTGAGTGTTGCCATTTTGCAATATACTTTAGCTACACGGA